ATATATTTTTTATTTAATTAATTTTTTATTAATTTAATTTAATTTTTAATTTTTAAAGTTGTCCATAAACTTTTGTCCATCTATTGTAATACTTAAGAAAAAATATATGAATCAAAATTTTACTCTAATTTAATTAAACCAAAAAACTTCTAGAGTAATATAAAAATTTAAAAAATTTTAATTTTAAAAAAATCTATAAGAATTCAAAATCTATTTGTGATACCTGCTAATGTAATACTTGATTATATGCTAAATAATTCAGAACAATATAGAAATCTGGCTGCCATATTAAAGAGATCCTATTTGAAACAAAAACATTTTTTTATTAAGTACTTAAATAAATTACCTCAATTTTTGTAAAATATTGGAAATTAATATTTTATTTAATATTACTTCAAAGATCTTTGAATTATTTCATTATTAATTTTTTCTAAAGTTTTTCAAAAATCTTTGAAATATTACTTTAAAAATTTGTAAAATTTTTTTTAAAAATGGAGATCTTCAGAGTTTTTTTGCAAAAAATTTTTATGATGTAGGTAAAATTAGAGACTTTATATACATATAGTATTTGAGATATAATATTTTCATATATAATAAATATATGCTATAGTAAAAATATAAACTAAAATATAGATACTATTTTTATCAGAATATTTAACTATGTTAACATTTATATAGATAAATACTTTGGTAAAGATAATATAAAAAGTAAAGATAAAATAAAATAGAAATATTTTAGAAATAATAAAGGTACAATAAGTGCAATAGAGGCTGAAAATGTAGCAACAAATCTGTAATACAAGATTATTTTAAAACAGATAACATTTCAAAAGTAAATGTTAATAAAAATTGAACAAGAGATAGTAAAGATTTTGAACAAAAATTGAGTATAACAATATAATTAAAACATCATATATTAATCAATATAAACAAAACATTTTTTGATAACAACAATCAAAATAAAATCATATAAACAAGAAAATGAAAAAAATATATTTATTGATCAAAAAATCAAGAACAAATATTTATATATTGTTAACAAATACATAATCAATTATATTAAATATTTATCTAATATAAAAAAAATATTCACAACTAATCATCTTTGGTAAATTAATTTTCTTAAGAAATTTCTAATATTTTATTTTATAAAACAAGCAATAAATTGTATGGTAAATTAATTTTAATAAATTTACATGTATATACAATTGTATCTCAAATTATTATTTCAATAAAGTTAAACAAGACAAACATCTATTTCTTCAAAAAATAATACTTTATAAAATTGATATACATTTTTTAAAAAGATCAATTAAAACATTGTTATCAGAATTTATTTTTGATTTAAAAGATTTAATTTTTATTTAAAATAAGACTTGTAAAAACATTGCATTCAAAACTTCAAAAAATTTTTTTTAATAAATACTACAGTACAAAATATACATTTTAACACTTCAACGTCGTTTGACATAAGTAAAAAGCCTGGTTGAAATGACGTTATGAAATATGACGATACCTTGACTTGCTCCTGCTGATTACTACATTTTTCAAGCGAAGTTTTACCTGTCTACGTAATTAAAAATCATTTTGTCATGAGTCTGAGTCTAAAAAGTCTAATGGACCATCGTATATAAGGAGGGATTTATAGAAACATATACAAATTTCATTAATTAAATCAAAAACCATGTCTACAAATAAAGCACAACAGAGACCTTCCAATGCTTCATCCCTTAATAACACTGGTCAAGGAGTTACCGCAGGGCCCAGGGCTAGAAACACGCCTTCGACAGCGGCTCGCGGTATCGGCAGAGTTGCACCACGTGGTAGAGGTGGATTCGCAGGTGGTCCAGGATTATTCGATGTCTCACCTCAAGGAGAAATACTCCATGAAGGTATCCCACAATCAAAGGAACTCATGCACCTTGCGGAATTGAAAGAAGTAGCTTCAGAACATGCGCGCAACGAAACAGTTGGCACAACGACTGGTATTCCCAAAGGTGGCGCAGCAAGTCTTGCTCGTGTGTAGATTATTATTTACTTAATATTACGCTTTTTGCGTAAAATTTTCTTGACTAAATTTATACGTTCGTAGAATCTGCGTTTGGAAAGTATGCTACTGCCATCAGGTAAACAAAATAGGAAAACCTCTTTATTTTATTTTGTTTTTTGAGATTTGTCATGTTTAAATTCCTCGTCTCAAAATAAAGCGAAGAGACGGGTATCCCTTCATTGTCTATTCAAGGAATGGTTCCCCCAGCCAAGGACGTTGATGAAGAAAAGTTGGTTCAGGAATTAAAGGTCTGGTTTTTTTTTTGCTTGTAAGTTTATGATAAGCGTCGTTTACAGCTCACCTCCAAAATCAACAGGAGGAGGCTCAAGAGCGTGTTACATATGAAGCCACACACATGGGTCGTGTACCTCAAGCTGGACCCGCACGCAAAGTCGAAGAGTCAGCGGAACGACTTGAGCACGTCGTAAAAATGGACAGAGGTGAAGAACAGCCACCAGTGCCGATTTCGACTGGTGCTCAAGCTACATATACTACTCCGCCCGTATCGCCAACCCAAAAAACTAACCTGACAGGTGTTGATCAAGATACAGCAAAACGGCATCTCTCTGAATTGAAAGAAGTTACTTCCGAACATGCAAGGTCTGAGGCGTGTTCAGGGAACATTCCTCTAGGGAGCGCAACTTCAATTATACGTGAGCATAATTGTATCATTATATTCGCCTATTATATGCAGATATTTAATAGATCATCTTCTATAGAATCGGCGACGGGCAAATATGCAACCGCAATCAGGTATCCTTTTTTTATTTGATACACTACACTCATGACATTTCTTATTTCCTCTAAATATCTTGTTCGTTAAAATACAGCGAGGAAACTGGTGAACCTGTTTCGGTCATCCAAAGCACGGTTCCCAGAGCCGATTACCATGTTGACGAGGCTAAATTGACACAAGAGCTCAATGTACTTTATTTTATTTTTCTTAAAAAGGTTAGTGCCTGTGAAATTATTACTGATGAATTGGTTTTGGTAATAGGAAGAAGCGCGAATCCGAGCCGAACACGAAAAAGAAGAACTCGGTTTCGTGCCAGCCACAAGCCCTGCTGTCGAAGAAGCGACAGTTAAATTGAATCAGGGATTAAAAATTAGTGAAGGACAAGAGACTTAGAATCGTAGCACGATGATTCTGAACCAACAAAAAGTTATCATCAATTAGCGAATCACAAGTTTACAAGATATTAGTGTTGAAACGTAGTTGATAATTAAATATGTGCTGCAAATGAATTTTACATAAATTTTATTCTCTAAATTCATTTATCATATATTCGGTTTTCATTTAGAGTATTTGTGCTTATTTTTAAATCGAGATTATTTCTAAAAGCGGTACATTGTATTCTTAAGTAGGGTGGAGGTTAATGCATAGCGAGATGTTAAGAAAGAAAAATGAATATGAAATTGTTGATGAACAATAATATATGCAAGAAATAAGTTAGGAAATGCAGTACACGTAGTATTATACATTAAGGAAAAGATTTTGCCTATTACTTTTGCGATGGCGTGGTGTAAATGAAAAATGCATAGAATATACATAGGAGTTAGGTGACGACTAAGATGGGGTTACAAAAAAATGAATTTTGAAATGAAGGAGTTCAGATTGTTTGCCATGAAAGAACAAGGAAAAAAAAAATTACAAAAAGAAAAAGATTTGCCAGAGAAATTAAAATGATTATAAAGAAAAATATGCAAGTTTAAATGACGGGATTAACATTCTACTGTTGTACCCTGCCAATTGTCTACGTTCACAGTCAACAATGAACATAATGCCCAGATTTCAATATAGTGTACATGAAAATGTCAAGCATTACTTTCGATGCTAACTATGCATTTAAATAAAAGAGGCGTGAAGGATTAAATTTTTTTAAAAAAAGTTCTTTTGTAGGAATTCTTGTTCAAACTATCGCGTGCCTCTTAACGATAGCTTCGACACCTTCGAATTCCCTTTTCGTCGAGGTTCTAGGAACCAGTATCTCCAAAACATTTCGAAGATTCGTCATTTGTCCCGTTTCTGTATCTACAAGCTGCATGAGTTCAATGGGATGCAGCGATTCTTTCATCGCAATAAAGTGTAAAGTCACTGATTCGCACGTTGAAGGGAGAATCGGTCTACAGTTTTGATGAGAAATTGGTGAGACTAAACGCGGATGCCTTCTCGCTATTCAGGGATGTCCATTACTTACCCTATTTGAACATTATTATTCAAACAAAAAATACCGGCTTCGGGCGTCTCTGATTCAAGATGTCTACCGAGAAATTCTGTATTGTACAAATGGAGCACTTAGTAATCTTGCAGATTTAAGGGTAGCCAAATGAAAAATCGAAAGCTTTACCAGTCTCAGACATGAAAGGTTCTATAGGATGTATCGTGTTTCCGTGTATTATTGTACTGTTTTGTATTCGATGAAAGACGCGAATTAGATCAACTACATCTTTCGTGGTAATAGCACACAAACTTTGAAGAATAACTCACGCGTCGCTTCGTCTCTTTTTGTTATGAACGATAATGGCGAATTTTCGAGAAATTTTTGACTTATTAACTATGAACACACGCACCGAGAACACCTTACCAACCATTACTTTGGAACCAACTGTTTTGTTTGACAAAGGATAAGCCAATAGATAAATAGGTTATCTAGAATTCATGAAATACCAGTCCGACTTACCAGATAACGATAGCATAATATCATCTCCCACATTCACTTCCGTTGGACGGTTTGTCAGTGGAGTCCTTCCCCCGGAAAGGATGCCATTCGTATTATTAGCGATCTCACCACACATAGGTGCATTGTCACTCATGGTCGATCCTACGGCCGGCTTCTTCATATATCCGCTCAAGATCGCAGAATAGATGCTTTTCGTGACCGAAGGCGTTGTGATGCCGGTGGATAGAAATACCGAACTTCCCGACGATGAAACCTCTGACAGGCCATACCTCGAGTTCAGCGATGCTCGCTGACTCACCGTGCCACTGATGCTTAACCTGTTAGGTACAGCGGAATCATCACGCTTGAACAAACTTGTCAAATCCAAAATACAATTCCATTTAGATTCGATATTCCCAGTTTTTTCACCCACAAGTATTGGCGTTCCTTTTATTGTTATTGTAAGAGGACGCCGCTGGTTATCATTCTGTGGTGTAAAAGAAGTGTTTGAAAAAACAGACGCCACCGAATCACGGTGAGATCTTGTACTCGAATTTGGTAAAGGAGTGGGGCAATGCTGTGGAGGTGAGGGCTTAGGTAAAGCCGGCTTTTCAAGTATGGTAACGTTGTAAAGGAATGTTGCTTGATCAATCGAGTTAAGCGTTAACGGAAATCTTCCCTAAATTTACGAGAACAAGAAAATCAGCAATGAGTATTTCTTACTAAACAAGATCCTCCATATGGAACATAGCGCATTGACTTACCGTCGCGTCATCGTGTACACACTCGTATCTTGCTACGAAGCCGTGTGAAACGTGAACCTTGATCGATTCAATCATGAATGAACTTATCGATTCGATGTTATTATTCTCCACGGAAATCGATATCATCATGGAATTCTCTAGGGGTGATACATTCGTGGTTCTCATTCGCACATTTAGCGCTGTTTTTACGGGCAACACCTTGGAACAAGTTCGTTTCACAGGTGATGTCGTAAGATTTACAACTGGTCGCCTGGGTTCGAAATTTACATCGGCTAGAGGCGCACAAAAAATAGTGTTCTCGGACCCGAAACTCGGATCTTTGATGGAATGTCGCAATAACAATCAATTAAACAAATCGATTTAAATATTTAATTGAAGAAATGTTATATTTACCGCCAATCAATCCTGCCAACAGATTTCCGCCAAAATGATGCATCGAGTACAAATCCGTGTCCGTCGCCTTTTTCGATTGTTTCGCAATCTCCAATGATTGCAATGCCACGGTAGCATTAAATGACAACATCGGACATGCAAAATGTGATTTCAAAAATGCTGGATAAAAAAGATTCAGGATGGATACTTGAGAAGATGTGAAGAACGTTGATGATCACGCAAAGCCTATTACTAACCGATTGGTAATGATAACGACACAACGCCGGTCCAACAGTTATTATATTCTACAACCATCACATTTCGATCTTTTTGATTCGTATTAAATTGAAGAGAGTGCATTATCATCTCTTCGGGCATTTTAGACGATCTCTTCTCTATTACAGAAGGAAAGAGGGGAGATCCGGGTGTTGAAGGGGAGGCATCCGTAGAACTTGAATCCGACCTGGTCATCGGAAAACGACAGGCAGGATGCGGAGGTTGACTTGGAACAGAAAAATGGGCAGATTCAATAAGGGACACTTCAATGTTTACATCAAGTTGTTGGAAGAATGCTTTGGCCACAGATTCATCAAAATTGCTCGAACCATATGGCAAGTTGAGCACGAGATAAAAATGTAGAATTTCATCTGATTGATTTTTTTCAGAAGAAAAATAAAAAATAAAGATAAAGGTTAAGAAGAAACGAAACTACAGTAGGCGAAAAAGCAGTTAAGAAACAAGATCATACCATAAAATGCTAGTGTTCGTGCTTTCGAGGTGAATAACATTTTCACATCATCTTCCGTGTAATCTAGCTTGCCATTTGGAATAAGAATGTCCAATGTGGATTTGTTTAGCAATGTTTCGCGAGGTATCATTATAATCTTGAGTGAATCGAATAAATCGACGAAAAAGTGAAGGAGAACGGACCCTTTATTAAATAGGATAATTTTGTGAACATATTTGCTCATTGAATGCATATCACATGCAATGTAATGGAAACATTATATAACATTATATATTTTATATATTTTACACTAGAAAGTACGTATTGTGATACTAATTATTCGACATTTCAGAGGCGGTACAGATTCTCAATAGGGATCAACATATTTTAATTTTTTTACTCGAATTTTGAATTTGGATAATTGACAAGGCGGCTAGTGACATATTTGAAATAATTACGGGTGTATCACTTTGCCCAGATGATAAAAAAGACGAATAATTATAGATGCTCGAGCTTTCCTAAATAGGTAAAGCCACAATATCAAATGACAGATATTAAAGGTCGAATATACGTGCGTACGAGCGTTTAAGTGCAGAAAAAAAAAAAAAGTTATTTAGGGGGATCACCATTATTTCCTAAAGTCGGGTTGTGAATCTGTTGGCATTAGGTTTCTCCGTTGGACATGCGAAAAAGTTAACTGACGGATGATGTGATTGTACATCTTAAATGGCACTAAGGAATGTCCTTATTCCTGAATGTGGCTTCGGTAAACAAAAATAAGTTTGCGCCTCAGTGGCGATCATTGTTTTGTGTTCAACGTCAATGTTTACGTTTGAGACCAATTGTTCCTTCTAGTCTCATTGAACTCTAATTCGACTGATGTGAAATATTTATAATTATCATGCATAATATTTGGTTCTATCCTAAGAATTCTTTTTTTTCGTAATTTAAACATTTCAAGACTAGTAACTATTCTTAATTTTGGACAATCTAATCGGATGACCAAATATCGTAGTATCTGTCCTCTCATTTGGGAGTTTGTGTTACCAAAGAGTTTTGTCTTGGTATTTCGCGCGAGCCAAGAGTCAGGAGTCTAGTGATAATCTTACATCTCACGTGAACACAGTGAGTGTGAATTCACCTCGTTCAGAAAATGGTGTTTCTTTGTTCTGGTAAATTCTTAGTGATTCGTCAAACCAGATTTGTACCGGTACTAAAATGTCGTACAAGCAGTACGCGCCTTATCTAGGCGAAACCAAGAGATTTGTGATGAAACGCTGGTTCGTAAGCCGCAAACACGATGTTAATTTCGAAACAAAGTCTTCTTCGTCAAAGATTTGTATTTAATTTATAACGCATGAACTATTTAGCATTCATTGATAAACAAAACGCGTATTTTTTTTTCGATATGCATCCTATGCACGAATACCATGATTATGCATTATCACACATCTCCACCTTTATTGAAGAACTTTTACTCGAGAAAATATCGTACGTACGTACTTGCGTCTTCTCAATTGTTTTACACAATATATTAACCCCGCTTATGGAACTTCCGTCAAGTTCTGCACGTGTATCAAAATCATAACAGATGACAGCCAATGGCTATTAATGTGATGGACAGCCTGATTTATGTATGAAAGATCATTGACATCGATATTAATGTTAACGTTAATAAGACACGCATGTGCAAAAATATCCGTGGCTAAGGAATCAGACACGTTTGCTAAAAATTTCTTCAAAGAAAATTGGTCTCTTTTTTTTTTTCGCATAAATAAAGATGTTATCTTCTGGCAATAGAAATATGCTCAAGTGAATGTGATTTTGTACGATATCGCATGTTTTATTATTTAAATGTTTTTAAAAAGTACGTATGCGGGGTTTGCATGCCGACGTCGATCCATTTGATATCTGAAAAACCTTTACATACTTTTAAGTCGAAGGGTGATACGTATCAGTTGATTGTATATAAATTTACAATATTTTGATCCTTCATATATAATACATTCCTTTTGAAGTGGAAAGAAGCTAGTCCAAAAATACATACGTTTGTTAAATCGACTGACCCACGGCTGAACATACAACCCCATCGAGCGAATTAAAAAGAAATGATTAGCTTATACGGCTACTGACTGTGGTCATCAAAAAAAAAACATGCTTACCAGAGAAGGAGAGCTAGAAAATAATGGGGATGGTGGTAAAAATAGGATTGAAAGGGATCGCTTGCATCGCTGATGATAACAAGGAATGTTCCGTGTAATCGACAATATTAACACAGGTCATTAGTTATTGTCATATAAGAAAGACTTGATATAAAATTCCTTTTTGGTTGCATAAGGCCACAGTGCTAAATTTTACGATTAATGAATTGGTTATTCCGAAAAAAAATTCTGTGTAATATATTAACAATAAATAAAACGTGTGATACAATATTTACCATATTTGTTTTTAAAAACAGTCTTAAATTCGTTATAACGTAATTCAATAAATGACCACAAGACAACGACTTGAAACATAATAATTTAGGTCATTTTTTATAATACAACATAAAAAACATTGTACTGAGAATGTTTCATGAAATTTATCACATATGTACAATATGCAAATGATGAAAATTTCAATTTCCAAACATGACAGTTATTAATATTATCAGGTTCAATTAATGTTGAAATAATAAATTATCCATTAATAAATAAAAATTTTTTATGTAAACCAGCAGAATTTATTAATATCGGTACATATATCAGTTCTATATCTATGATACATGCAAGTTAACTTCTACTTTACTTACTATTAACATACAGTATATGTTGCATATACTGTATGTATATATATTGTATATATTATATTACAAACAAATACAAATATAAGAATTGACTTAATAAAAAATTCTAATTATTAATTTTTAATGATATATAGAGAACATTTCCTAAATATATTTTTTCTAAATGTATACATTCTTTAAATATACTTCTTATCATAATTTCAAATTGGTTCAATATTATTAATATATTTTTTATATTTTAACAATATATTAAATTTTTAAAAATTTTTATGTTAAAACTAATTTTATAAATGTATTTTTATATGACTTATAAATAGAAATATCATGAAAATAGATACAGGACCTGGACAATCTGGAACAAGACTGTTCATATCCATGTCCAATTATTTTCTAATCCCAGATAAAATAATATAATCACATATTTACTATATACTATTATTTTAGTAATAATTAAAATATCATATGTTGCAATGTATAATATATATCATGACATACAATAATACATCTTGTTATAAGTTATATAGCAAGTATATATTGCTGGTTGTTATGTTTGACTCAAAATAAGATAGGTTTCTTTAACTCTTAAAGTGTATTCTTGATTTAATCAGTTTTTAACTTTTCTTATCAACTAATCTAAAATTCTTTTTATGCCAATTTCTTTAAACAAAATCTCAGTTCTATTGTCTAGTTATATAATACAAGTCAAGTATTTATGATATATTAAAAAACAAGATAAGAGTTTATTTCTAAAATATTACTTTATTATTTATTACTTAATATACTCTAAAATAATTCTAAACTTCTTTTTTCTATATACTATTGAATTGTGCATATATTTATATATATACCTATTATTAATATTATAAATTATTAGTTGAAAAGTTTAAAATCAATCAATTAGAGACCTATGGGTCTATAGCACAGTAGTAATGCTCCATAGGTCACCAGGAGAAGGTCTAGGGTTCAACCCCACCTGGTTACAAAAACTTATCACCTTCATGATTGGTTAACCAGCTTCCAATTCATGTCATACCCAATCAGCCAACAAAAATCTACTTCCAAATTTAGTTAGGCTACATAAAGATGGGACCTCTGGTCTTCCCAACGATCGCGAGCTGAAAACAGGTCAAAGCAAGAAAGGTTGCACGAGGAAAGACTTCTGGTCTAACTTTGGTAATAAGCCCTCAAAACTCCAACCCAAACTGGCGACGGCAGACTCCGTCACACAACATAAAGAGGTTAATTCTAAGCTGATCTATCCCAATCTGGAGCTTGTAGATCTATCCCAATGGTGGTGTTCCACGGAACTTAATCATATGGCCGAAGGGCAAGGTATTAGCCACAGGTGGTGAGAAGACTAGACAAAAATCATTAAACCAAGTGAGTCTAGTGAGGATCTACAAGATTAAATTGGAATCCAAGCAAGGACGCCAGTTTCACAGGTGGTGAAAATAGTAGTACTGTATTATGCTAGTGGTACATCTCGAGGATCAGTGATAACAGTGACTGGAATACTGGAATCAATTTCTATAATAATATTCCACAATGTATCCCACCCACGACGGATGCAGTCAAAACTGGACCTAGTAGGAAGGTGGTTTAAATTAGTAGTAGAATTTCCACCCCCTATGTAAGTCCCACCTGACATGTGAATCATCTACTTGATGTTTAAAATTTCGTATAGCCGGATATGTTGCAATTGGTCTAGGGGAAACCAGTATTATTGGAAATGGTAATTATTAGGTAGTATTAATTTGCATTTAGGATAGCAATAGTCTACCTTGTAAAGATACTTGATGTACTGACTAAAACAAATGTTTAATAAATGTCACGCATCTAATGCCCTTAGTCAATTTAAAAAAAAAAAAAAAAATCAATCAATTAGAATATAGAATTTTTAAAAACAACTAATTAATTAAAAAATTTTTGCCAACTAAAATTATTATCTATTATTTATATGTTTATATCTGTTTATTATATTACAATACTTTAAAAATTTCTATAACTATTTTTTTATATCAATTTTTACTTTAATTTTTTTCACAAATTATGATATAACATGATATTATATTATATATTGTACTTGTATTGATTTTACTTATAATATTTTTCTATACTTATCATATATATATTATATATAAGACCAAACCTAGGATTTAATTTTCTAACATTTGATTGATATTTTTATATTTTGCAATCATTAGTAATAATAGAGTATTGATTAGTAAAGTTTTATTAATATCATATAATTATATGATAAATTGAAGATTCTAATTTCTTCAATTTTTTTTTCAAATGAGATGTTGATATTGAACTTTATTATAAAATTGTAACAAAGTATACTTATGAGTTATTAATATATCTCAAATAAGTTATATAATTTGTTATAATCTCCAATGTTAACCTATTTAATAAACCTTAAAATTAAATAGATCAATAGACAACAGTAGCAGGGAACC